TGTAGTTCCAGCACTCTGCCATAACTGAAGTTATCCCTCTTCCACTGCAAATGCTGTTGGACTGGAAGAAAACATAGGCTCATACACTGATACTTCTGCTGCTGGTAGGAGGCTGGAGAAAGAACAGCTTCAGTTTATGGCTGAGGCTCTCTGCCAGCATGGGACATAGCAGTATCTCCTCTGCCTTCCCTTCTGAGCTTCCTGCAATGGAAGCTTTCAGACTGGGATTCTGATAGTATGGAGCAGCACAATCCCCAGATGAATATGGGCCTTTATTTCAAACCTCTTGTGCTGAGAGTTCTTGCTTCCTTCACATCCTGAGCATATGAAGCTACGCTAGGCTTAAAAACTGCTTTGACAACAGACGCACAATCCTGCTCTGGCAGCAAAACTACCAATATTCCCCTCAGTCAGAGGAAGCACGCTTCCCACACTCACTGTTTTAATAGCTTTTGGAGAAAAACGGGTGCCCAGCGTGGGACAGCCCTGAAGCATAGCCAGCTATACATGAATCTAGCCATTGTGCTGCCTCAGCCAGGGGTCCGCTCTCCCTCCTCCCACCCCTCTTTTGAAAAGGGATGTTCTCCAGACTGTGTGCATGTATTATGCTGCTGGGTTCCTGTTTGCTTGGTTCTCAACACCAGCAAGCAGAAAGCCTGATGTAGGAGGCATACAAATGACTGCAGGAGCAGGGGAAGAGGTCAGACCTGTGGGTTTAATAGTGGCAGATACCGTTGAAGGCCTCTGTCCACACAGCTAGGAGTAATGCAGTTGGATACTTCTCTAATAATTATAGCTCAGTGGCTAGAAAGGGAAGAGATTATTCTTTCTGCTTGACCAGATGCTGTAGATAGCATGTCCCCTTTGCCACACCAGCTGCTAGTATTTGTTTTTTCCAGAAGGGAGTGTAGGAGCACAGCCTAGGCTCAGGGAGCAATTGCAACAGTTAGCTCACACTGCCAGCAGCACAGCTCAATCTTACAGGCATCAGGGCAGAGTCTGTGCCCTATAACCACCCTTTTGCCCTCTGGGCAGATCTTCAAACAGAGATGGCAAGAAGCCGAGCCCACAGATGCTAGGCTTCAAGTCAGGCAGTGGCTGAAACATCCCATGTTTCTGATTGTTTAGGATGCAGGAAGCTGTGCAGACTGCCCTGGTGCTGGAAAGCCAAGACAGAGGAGACAAAAATCCAGATCATGTCTGTGAGAGACCTTCTTAGACACACAGTATAGAGAAGAGCTAACGCACAATTAAGCATTCACTGCTTACTGCTGTGAGGAACCCCAGAGAAGCTGCCAGACTTTGAAAAAATACCCTCACCATGAGGCCATGTTTTCCAGAGTACTTAGTGAGGTTGGCCTGTAGGTGAGTTAACTAGGGGAGTCTGCTGGAAACTTTACCAGTATAAAAAGGGCTAGTTAGCCTCTCCGCACTAGCGCAGGAAGAGCTATAAGGCTCTTGGTGCTAAATGAAACATGATCAATGCCTAATGACACATGCAAATTGCAGTACAAAGTGGCTGTGTGTCATAGAGCCATTACCTGTGCAAATCCAGATCTACATAAGGAAAAATCAGCTTTTCTTTAATCAGTTCCCAGATGACCCGTGTCATTTCATCTCCTTGCATCTCCACAACGGAGCCCCCATGGATTTTTTTAGACATCTTGAGCTGCAACAGACATAAAAAAACCCCAGCCCAAGTTAAAAACTGCCAACACACATCACCAATACGTGTATCCTGCATTTTTACAACACAACTGGAAAAGAGGTACTAACATAGCATACAGGATCTCTCCTCAAAGTCTTGAAAATAACCACAATTTATCCCTAGTTTCATGCTAACTGGTATTCTTCTTAAAGCCCCAGCTCCTAGGGAGATCTATCTGAGGATAAAAATAAAGGTTAATATCTGAGATTTAAGGACCTGTGTTCTAAGGGCATGAACTTTAATTATGGTTGTACAAAAGAATTTGAAAGCATGACCAAACTCTTCCCCCAAATTCCACAGAAATAGATGAGCACTATTTATTTTTAGATTTCACGAGTTCTAGTCCAGTTGCCTCTTCTTCTGAAAAACAGGGGTTAATGGACATTAGTTTAATGACAGCTCATATTGCTGGCACTATTACGATTAATACATTGTCAGCTTCTTTATTAACTTCCTTCTGCAGGAAGGAAGGAAACTGGTACAGAAATTCAAGGGCCACATCAAGAGTACTTTCTCCTGGCAAGCTTTATTTCTGCTGTTAAAATAAATACTGGACAGATTTGTTTTCTGTATGGAACAGAGGTTTCCCAAGATATTTGTTCACAAAGCCTCAGAAAATAAACCTGAACTCTGCCCTTCTATTTGCACTTTGTTCTTTGACAAAACCCAACCCCACAAGCCCCTGAACTGCTCTAACACAGTGCCCTGCTTTCTGACAGCCACAGTTTCTTGGTTGTCAGCTCTGATTATGCAAGAGCTATGACTTGGCAAGTTCTTCCTCCCAAGACAGCCCCCTTCTTGTATGCAGCTGTTAGGATACTACAGTAAGATACCAAGCCCTCGTGCCTGAGGTTGCAGTCTCACAGATACCAAGGTCCATGAATCACTTTATCCAGAATGAGGGGTACTACTGTACACAGAGTCTATTAATCTAGATGAAGTTATTCAGAGGTGCGAGGTTTGCAATGCAAGGGCCTCAGGTTACAAGCATGTGGGGAAACTGCTCCCCAGTTAATTTTTTTTTTATTATTTTTAATTAAACCAACTTGTGCTGAATTTCCAAAGTCCAATCCATTAAACATTTTTAGTCTGGGAAGAGAATAAGCTTTAAGCTATGTTCTAGCTACTGCATCAAACTTTTTTAAAGAGCAAAAATTAAAAAAAGTAAAACAAGGTTGTGAGTTACCGAGACTGTATTTACTATGAACACATAAACTTGAAAAATTAAATCATCCAAGGCACTCCTATCCCAAAGAAAGGTAGTATCTTGGCTTATATTAGGCCTTTCTAGTCCTCATGGAAAACTTCAGCTTCATATGACCACACTCTGAACTCAGTTTATTTATGCAAGTATTTTGGGCCCAATTTTCAATTGTGACTATCTAAATAAGGACTGTGTATTACACTCCCATGGCCTAGGCACAGGATTGCTACTCAGGAGACTTCAGTTTTGCTTTTGGCACTTACACAGTGTGAGAAACAGTCTGATTCATTTAAGTCAAAATGTACACAGACACCCACCCACCACTGCTTGTTTTGTAGTTTGGTCCCTACTTAGATAAGACAAATTAGACTATGTCAGTCCTAGCAATAGGTTTTGCAAAGCTGGCTTCAGACCTATACGGTATTGCTGTCACAAGGGGAACAAAAGCATGAGAGACGCACCTCCACCGAGATACATCCCCACTGATATGTGGAAACAGCAGCTTCTTAAACAACTCTGACAGCACCCTACGTGTTTATCTGGTCACGGCCCCAGTATTTTTCCCCTCCTCAAACACTGATGTCCCCAGTTTGTCTATGTACAGGGGCAGTACAGCAGTAGCATCCGCCCTATGTTCACCAGAGTCAACACGCCAAGAGGTTCCTCTAGAGAGCACACGTTCCCCAGAGTTCAACTCTTTCTGTCACTCTTCCCCTTTGCTTTTATACGCTCCAGAACTGCCAAAAGTCAGCAAGGTCTTTCTCCTAGAGCAACCCTTCCTTAAATACATTTAACCCAAGCATTTAGCCAAGGCAACTTAGAAGAAACTTCGTGAGTTTCCAAATACTCCTTGGTCCTCAGGAAGGACTTGGGCCCTAGAGTCAATAATTACCTATTGCAGCAACTCCTTAATTCAGGTTTACGGAAGATCTCTTCAGACCAGGCACGCTCCCAGGGAGGGCGGCGGAGATCGTTGTCACTAACCGAGATCTTGCCTGCACTCGTTTTTCAGCCGCGCTGCCCTCCATCCACGCCCGCCGCCCACCCCTGACAACGCCACGCAGCCTAGCTCTTCTGGCACAGGTAGGATTTGCCGACCAGGCCGCGGGCTGCAGCCGGGGCCACCAGCCGGGGCTGAAACCCAGGCACCGGCACCACCCCGGCACGGCGCTGCCGGGCCTGGCCAGCACGGCAGCGACCGGGGACGCTCCCCCCGGCCCGGGGGGGCCGCCCCGGGGTACGCGAGGGGTCCCGAGCGCAGCCGGCGTTAGGCGACACCACCGACTGTTAAGAGAGGTCTGGATTGCCGGGGGAGAAAGCCCAGCGCCAGGCCGGGGAGGCCGAGTCCGGGGTGCGAGCACCCCCTCAGCACCCGGGGCGTCTTCTGCGACACCTGCGGCGGGAGGGGGTGCCGGGCGGGCAGCCTGCCGCGGAGCCCCCGCCCCGAACCGCCGGGAGAAAAGCCCTTAAAGCCCGAAACCGCCCTCTCAGGGCTCCTCTGCAGGGCGGGGGACGCCACGACCGGGAGGGGAAGGACCAAGGGGCGGCGCGGGCCGGGCCCGTCCCGCCTCACCCGCGCGGCCCCGGGCCCCGTTACCTGCGGGCGGTGCCGGTCCGGCTCTCACGGCGACGCGGGACCCGGCCGTGCGCGGGGCCTTTTATGGGGCCGCGCCCCCGCCCCCGGCCCG